TTGGCCTATACTTCAGGATCAACCCGAAACAGAAAATGAGGCAGGGCAAGGAGGGTGCATCACAGGTCATAGGCGGACCTAAACAGATGAGTTTTAAGGGACTTTTTGAAAATGGACGAGGTTTCACAATGTCGGATATGGAAGGGGAGCTGGTTCATATGACTGCAACAACTCTGAAGTTTTGGAGACCATTTATTTTATACTTTTGTAGCGCCAGTTAAAAAAAAAACAACAACATGCACATTGTTTTATCATATAGTTGCTTTGATTACAATCTCACTTATTAATAGTTCCACTGACAATGATAACCACTGTTGAAGATGCTTACAATGAAAATTGAGGGAGGCCTTATATTGTTTAACCTTGTCACTTTTTACGAACCAACCAGGCATTGTATAGAAAGAATGCCGAATGACAGAGAGTAAAGAGAGTGCATCACCAAAACCCCAGAGGAAAACGGCTCAAAAGCAGACCCAGGCTAAGATGGGTGGATGATGTGACAAAAGATCTGCAGTTGCTGTGAATCCAAGCATGGATAAGAAAAAGCATCAGTTGGTCTGAGTAGAAAGTTGGGGTGAGGCAGGCCAAAGCCCTGCGTGGGCTGTCGCACAACACGAATGGGTGGATGGATTGCCATTATTTGAACCAATCGTGTTCCATCTATTTTAATCTCATTCAACTGTCATAGATGAGCAAAAGTTATAAAGAAAAATACACACCAATAATTAATCGCAAGTATAACTTAGCCTACACGTAATCTTTTTTTTTTTTTTTTAAAGAAAGAAAGTGGTTTTGCAAAGCAATAACTTTTTTCTTCTTTCATATCTGCTTAAAATACATTTATTAACTGTCCATTGAAGGTCTTTTCGTGTTTGGGACATATTTTAAACAAATACTCATATATGACTGATTTTTTATGAAGGCATTTGATTTGTGTGTGTGTGTGTGTGTTTGTGTGTGTGTGTGGAGTGCTATATTTCAAAATATTGTATTTTCAGGTTGCTATTATTAATAGTCATTTATTGTGCCATAAACCATGTCAAAGAAGAACATAAAGACAAGGCCAAAGAAGAAGGACAATATCTGAAAAGAAACAACCCTACAGGTTAACAATGTCCTCACCAGCATTGGTACCCAATCAGTATGGCCAATCAAGTTTATGTCTTTATAACAGCAAGAAACTGTCCAGTTTAAGTCTATAGTGACATTTTTTCAAAGTGTGGCATTGTAGGCCACGCTATTACAAAACCACATTTAGCGCCCAACGTGGTGTTGGAATTTGACCTCGGGGTTAGGGTATCATACCATGCAGCATGAATGGAAGGGCCCCGTACCCATCGCGTAGAATACTTAAATATTTGAACCCACTATGTGTGCTTTTGGTTAAAGTTCAATTATTTATTTCTAGGGAACCCTAGTGTATTAAGCTATAAATTATATCTAGTTGGAAGAGGGATTTTATTCGCTATAACTTGGTATATTTATATATATATATAATTTACAAGTCTATATCTTCAGAGGGTATTGTAATATTAAGCAATTGAGGGAGTTTCAAAGTCATCAATTTGGGAAGGGGGGGGGGGGGGCCCAACCCCTTCTATTTAAAATATCTATTAAAAAAGCATTTAACTTATAGAATTATTTTAGATAGCCAAAAAAAAACGGGTGCAGGCACATGTAAGTCTTTAAGTTTTATATATATATAATTTACAAGTTTATAACTTCAGAGGGTATTGTAAAATTAAGCAATTGAGGGAGTTTTAAAGTCATCAATTTGGGAAGGGGGGGGGGGGTCCCAACCCCTTCTATTTAAAATATCTATTAAAAAAGCATTTAACTTATAGAATTATCTTAGATAGCCAAGACAAAACGGGTGCAGGCACATGTAAGTCTTTAAGGATTTGGTCCAGAATTTTTTACTTTTATTCGGCTTGGAGTCGCTAAGGGATTGTTGATTTGCCACAGGGAATCTGCCAGAAGGCAAGTAAGAGACTGCCTCAGTCGTCGTGTGTCGTACATACTCTCTGATATGTTCGAACACTTTTACTAATAGTGCGCGCACTAATGAGTTTTTGGATTCCAAGTTTTAACGCACCCCTAAAAGATCGCCATTGTTCACCGAGGCCTATTTGGACGCTCTGTAAGTAGGCCTATAAGCAAATACGCCATGATATTTCTGTGTTTGTAGTATGCAATTGGTAGGTGTTAGTAATGAGAGATTTCTGTTCATGACTTAAAATAAGCAGTGTTAATCACTTGTTAATACTAAAATAAACACTTGTTAGCTCCTTCATTTTGTTTTGTAACCATGATAGTGTGATGGTTGAACATACAGCCGTTCACTGAATTCTTAAATGGAAATAGATACCTGTGTACGTGAGCATAACACGCAATCATATCATTCTGGTTACATATGCTGCAAATGTACTTATTAGCTATTGATACAACAGTATACAACCATCGAATATACGTAAAGTATGTGTAGTAGGCTAACTCTCCTGCCTTGTGCTAAATTCTCACGTAGTGAATGGTGCATGTGTTAGGATAATATCACCATCTGTATTAATATATTAGACATTCTGCAATTTGCTTTTGTCTTAAAAAGACACATCAATTGATAGATACCAGTATCAAACTAACGGTAGTCATACTTAATACCATTGTATTAAATGTCCAGCTATGTGTGCATCTTACATAGGCACCATACATGGACGGCATCCCATAATATTTTCTAGACCTTTATGTTATCCCTCACACTTGTTCTGAATGTTAGACGGTGTACGAGCTACAAGTTCAACACTGCCACATTGATTAGTTTTTTAATTAAACATTACTACGATAATATAATATTAATTGCCATTTGTACAACATGTGCTACTCTACTCTTAGTTAAGTATATTTTGTCACAACCTGTAATTACTGAGTTAGTTAACATATTTATTTTTAGCGTTGCTATTCAATGTTAGTCAGGACATTGTTCATTTGTACAATTTGTTTCTTTTCAGATGTTGTCCTTCTTCTCTGGCCTTGTCTTTATGTTATTGTTTGACATGGTTTATGTAAATAAATAAAGCTATAGTCCTCAAGACCTGAATTTGTTTTAGTGTATAATAGTAAAACTGTCAGCCTTGGCCCTTACCACCATGACCCACTTTGCTACAGTTTCTGGCGCTGGGAGCAGGGCTTTAAATGTGTGTCCACACACACACACACACACTCCAGTAGCCACCACCTCACACTACTACACAAGTAGTTTACAAATTAATTTTACTTGAACAGTCAGCATTTTTAACATTAAATGTAATTCATGTATAATAAATAATTTTGGATAGCGACAAGGGAGGTTTTGACCCTATAATATTTAAGAAGTATTTATATTATATAAAATAAAACTTGGCACTTTACAAGGTAGGCTATATTACTACAAGTAATTTTTAAATGGATGATCAAGTAATTTTCGTTTGCAAGTCACGTTCTAACCAGTACGCATGCAAGCAATATAAATTAACTACCTTTGAATTGATGCAACTCGTTCAATATGTCAGTTGTAATTAAATTTGTCTCTTTTGAAAAGTTTAATAAAAGAAAACCTTCCCTTTTCCACTGCTGTTTCTACTTCTGTGCATTACCCCTCCCCACCCCACCTCTGTAATTTAAAAATGAATGTGTGAGGTTACCTAGCACCTCCACACATTGGCCTAGAACTCCATATACAAAACAAATATAAAAATATTAATTTGTGCAATATTTTTTTTAGTTCTTGAATTTTTAAAAAAATTAAGTTTAAGTGGAGAAAGGTTGTTTAATTATTTTTTTTCAATTTGATTTCAGGGCATAGACATGATTATTTTTTAAGTGAAAAGTAAATCTCCAATAATTTGTTTATGTTGACAGGCATTGTTCAAGTTCAGTGGAACCCCGTTATAACGCGCCCCGCCATAACGTGAATTCGGATATAACGCGGTCGTAGCATGGCTCCCAAAATTTGAAATTCATTTACTTCATCAGGCCTAGGTTCTTTGAAAATTTTATCCACTCCTTGGAAAGCCATTTTTTAAAGCGAAAAAAAATCACAACTTTTCAAATTATCGTAGAAAATGAGCCCCTAAACGCAGCACGTTCAAACTAGTAGACACGGATATGTTCTCGAGAAAAAGTTAAATATTTTAAAACCGTGCATTAACGCAACCCCGCTTTTAACGCGATCCGATTTTATGGACCCCGATCATTGCGTTATAGCGGGGTTCCACTGTAATATGAATAGTTATTATTTCATATCTTATCTACATAGCTCATGCTGGACTCAAGGAAGAAGAAATAAAAATTCATATAAACAAAATTATGCTTTGGTTCTGTTGGAAGTCTTTATTCTTTTGGTATTGGAATTAAATAGTGTTTGGCGCCCGGGGACAAAATTCGCGCCCGGGGATAAGATCCATTGTAAAGCGCCCCTTTTTCTTTTATTTCAACTCTTAGACCCATTACTTTCATCAATAATATAATATCAAAGCACATTTTGGCGCCCCTAACTACCTGGCGCCCGGGGACATCTGTCCCCCCCTGCCCTCCCCTCGCTACGCCTCTGCACCTTGGGTCTCCAAGGTGTGACAAGGAATGCCACATTCAATCTGTCTGCTTGACAAAAATAAGTTATTACTTTCAATTTTTAAAAAAAAATATTTAAAACTGATATCCTTTGCATGGCTGTTGTAAGAATATAATTTAATATGATAAAGCTGTTTCTTGCCGCCTATAGATTGTAAAAAAAAAAATTATGCTTTGCATTTTTTCTTTAACTAACTTAGGAACATAGCAACCAAATTATGAAATATAAATTTGGTCATAAAGTCTGATGAAAATTTAATTATTGTTTTGAAAGCACAGACTTGTTTAATCATTAATTACCCCGTAAATTTTGTAACTGTTTGAGTACCTAAAAACTGGTCCTTAATATTAAAATGGCCTAAAAATATTTTTTTTTTCTTTTTTGGCCTTAAAGATTATACTCCAAAAAGAGATCGTAAGTCAGACAAAGTCAATTTCTGGCTACTTCTTTCGGCACTGTAGAAGAAAAAAAAGTGTAAGGGGAAATAAAATAATTTATTTTGGTTTATTACGAATAAATTAAAGTTAAATAGAAAAACAAAGTCTATATTCTATAGCCTATTTAAACTGAAAATTCTTTCTTACTGAAAATAATGAAAAGATTAAATCAAAATAGTCAACGGCATCAGAGTTTGTCATATCAAGCTTAATTTATGTTATAAAATTTTTTTTACTTAAATTAAATCTTTGATCTGACAATTCACATACCCTGAAAGAACAGATTTTGCTAATTGGAGTTTTTTTTCTTGTAATGCCACTATTTTCTCCTCAATTGTATCCTTACACAGAAACCTTTGCAAAATAAATTGATTGAAACTTTGAGATGATGTATTGACATTAAAGAATTTTTTTTTTTAACAAATGAATATTTAAAAATGAATCTAAAAAATGAGCAGCCTGATTTGGGCTAGAAAATTATTTTTATTGTAACTTTTAATTCTGAATTGTAAATTTTGTTGTTTTTTTTGTACAAAATTTTTTTTTTAAAAAAGGATCTATTAGATAAAAAGTCAAAATTATTATTTAAAAATTACATTGAATAGATGATTGGATTATTCTTTAAGACTGTTCTCATAATAAAAGAATTTTTAAAATTTTAATTACTTGTATATAAACACATCCTTCTTTTGCCCCATTCTGTAAATGCGATCACAGGCTTGTTCATCTAAAGCTGGGTTCCTGAAAAAATTGTTTTTCAAAATAAAATATTGCCAGCACCTTTCATCTTATATTAGTAATATAGTAGAACCAGAGTGTTATTGGGTTCCATAAAATTGGATCATACTATAGCAAGGTCACTTACAGCAGGATTTTTACACTTCTTTTTAAAGAAGAAAGACAGGTTTTTTCGTTTTAAAAAAGGAATTTCTAATCTTTTTTGATGTAGAAGTTGGACTAATTTTAATTTTTATTACTGTTTTTCAAGTAGGCCTACTTTAAAAATAATATTCATGTGCAAAGAAGCCATTCCACGATTGAGTTATATCATCCATATTGGCATTAAAGGCTGCTTAAGAGCCGGATTCTATGGTAGGCCTTTCTGAAAAAAATTGACCAACTTAATCAGCAATTTTGATGACATAAAGGCTAAATATATTGTTATTCTATCCCTACACTTTACAGATACTGTATTTCAACAGTGACAATATTTACAATGTGATGATTTTAGGACTGCATGTGCATACTAGGGTTTCTCATTTCCTAGAGTTTTGCTTATCCTAGGAAAACTTGATAGAAGTTACTCTCATCCCAAGATTCTAGCGAATCCAGGGAAATCATAGGAAAAGATTAATAGATTAAAAATTTATTATAATCTACAGTAAACTATACAAGAGTTTTTAAAAATAATTTGTTATTTGTTTTTCTCTGTGAAAAACAATGTTAAGGTTATTTGAGAGGTTGTTAAATATAACTAGTTGCTTCAATTTTCCCTACTTAGATTAAGTAATAGATAACTAACTAATAATATGCTTGTCAAGCAAAAGTCAGATATGACAACCTGTAGAAAAAACATTTAAACTATCTATGAATTTTGCATTCTTTACAGAGCACAAATTGAAGTTTCAAATCTGTCATCATATATTTGCAAGCCAATGTTTTTAAAAACTTTTAACAAGGGATTTGTTTCTAATAAAAAAAAACAATTTATGTAGGCTATCCATTTATGTATTTGTAATACAATGTTGATTTTGGAAATAAAGAAGACACTACATAATATAAAAAAGCTAATCTATTGTGGTTAGGGTCACTTTGCTTTCATATAAATGTGGTCCTGACTTGAAAAAATTAAAGACCTATTGAGAATAACAATTAGATTTTACTGGTCCTGGCTTACAGCAACAATTTATGACTTGCTGAAATAAAAAAAAAAAACCTAGAAAATTGCATTCTAAATGTATATATTTCACAGGAAGTTTTTTGTTCAGAAAAAATCCCATTAAAGAAACCCTAGTGCTTACCAGTGATTATCTAAGAGAAATAGGTGATTTCCTCCAATCAAATTCAAACCTACACCACCTGCTTTCAGCGATAGAAGCAATACCTACACAGAGATGAATAAAAAAAAGTAGTAGGAAATATATCAAAATATATATTCAAAAAATGTAGCAATTTTGCACTTAAAGACTCCTTAACTACCCATGTGTTTATCACAAGTTTCATAATATTAAAAAATTTACTGCAGCTGAATTAAAAACAATTCATGTGCGCAATTCTATTAATACTTACAAATAAAACCAGCATTGTTTGATTTGAAAACGTTTTTACTATTTTATTTTCTTACATACCTTGGCTCCAATAGAGTTTGTGTTGAATTCATCCACAATATCCATTCTCTTTGTTACTGGGATATTTCCCTGAATGCTAATACAATTTATTCCAGCTTTTTCCAGATGGTGGCCAACTACTTTAAGCATCTGCGTCCATTGGGACACTACGACACTGAAATTGAACAGTCAGAACTTCGTTCGACTTTTCCATCTTTTTAAAAGGTGACATACATTTATTACATATGGTCTCAATTTGGTAATTAAATTATAAGAACATGTGTTGTACATGGCAAGTAAGTTTATTTAATTGATATGTTTTTTAAAAGGTGAATTACTAACCATTTTTGTGTACCTTCAGACTTTATTGATTTAATTTTTTCTAAAAGTTTTATCAACTGAAAAAAATATTAATTGGACATATTATTATAATATTTCAATAAGGTGTATCATGTTTCTAATTAGACTACTGTAAAATTAGATGGTAATATCAGACCAAAAAGAAAACATCAAGAATGGGTAATTTTGAAAACTTAAATAATTTGGAAATGTTGTTTAACACAATATTGTTTCAAGCAACACAATTGTAACAGCATTATGATTTATTCATTGGTTTCTAAACTTTTTCAAGTCACCGCATCTTTGCTGCATCAAGGATTTTTCTAGTCAACTGCGAAAATGTCTATTTTTATATGTATATTTTTTTCTCCACTTCACAGCACCTCTGTGAAAAAGCTTTAACTCCCCAATGCACAGTTTGGGAACCTCGAGTTAAGTTAGTTAAACCAGGGAATGAAAAAAAAAAAGAATAATTAACTTCACCTTAAGTGTAGCATTTATGGTACAAGACAACACTGAATTAACACTTACAAATTTTAACCTAAAATTTTACATACTAAAAATTGTTTAATTAATGTTGCCAATTTAGGTCAATACAGCAATAAATATTGTAAATGAAAACACTTTTCATGTTGCCATTTATAGAACTAACTTTTGAACTTTGAGCAGATTGGTCAAAAAGAGCAGCCAAGTTTTGAGCAGATTTTGAGCTGGAGTCACCAACTATTTCTTCTATGTCCATGTCTTTCAGCTGTTCACATAGTGAAAGTTGGATTCCTTCAGACTCTAAAGTTTCTGCCTCCAAATGCTGGAGTAACAAACAGCAAAATTTATTAAAAAAATAACTTTTTTTTCAAATGATTGGCCAACAGAACACCCAGTCCCTTTTAAGGTATAAGGGTGAAGGCAATATTACAGTGATTATTATCCAATTAAACATTCAGAGAACATGGTATGTGCTAGCACTAAATCATTTGGTACTCATTTAATTTACAAAAAAAAAATAATATAAAAATGTTTAAGGAAAAATTCTTCTACTTAAGTATATTATTTTTTAAATTATGTAATATAATAGATCCCAAACAATCACAGCAAATGGTACACAACAATAATATGAACCCCAGAAAATAACAAAACTAAATAGTTTGACTTACTGACTTCAAAAGGCTCAGATGGGAACAACATTGGCGAAGTCTAAGTAGGAGCACCAAGATCTGAAAGCAAGTGGCTTGACCACCTTGGCCTTGTGTCTGATGGAACCTGTCAATGGCCTCTGAAGAGTATGTTGCAATGTTTGAGGCACTATCAGCCCTTGAGAGTGACCCCACAGTTTGGGAAGCATCTGCATTTGAGTTCCATTTCTTCCTCTGCAGAGACTCTTTATTCTTGTGAAACATTAGATAAGCCCTGACAGTTGACCTAACAAAATGTATAAAATGAATGCATTTCAATTAGCGTAAAAACAGAGAAAGATTTGATTATATTAACTAATAAACCTATATTATCATTTTAAAATACTGCCAGCTGTTAGGTATCACTTACTGAGTTTTGAGGAACAGCTTCTCATACACTGCTCTTTCCTCAGTATTTAGAACAACTAGAACAGTCTCAGTACTGCGACTTGGGAGGGACAAAAGAGGTTTGCCATCTAAACTGATTTGATGTTTTGTACGTCTCAGAAGAAGGGCTTTAACGATAGTGTTTAATCTTTTTAAGTCACCTGAAAGATGTAATTTTAAAATTATTTAGCTTGATTGAAGAATTGAAAATTGTTATTTACTTTCTTACCACCAGCAAAGGGTTACGTACCTTTCTCGGCGCCAACATATCTTGCCCAAACTTGGTACTGATCAAATGGACTAAAACGCAAGAACCTTGAATAGAATAAGTGAGAAGCTCATTTTAATTCAAATATTTCATGAATCTAAAATCTGATACACTAGAGCTAATTCAGTAAATATATTTATAAATTCTCTAAATTTTTTGTAGATGAGCTGCAGATATCTGTTTCTTAAAGCCAAGTTGGACATTATTCTTCTGCTGGTTGAGGAAGCGAGAGTGAAATTTATTACAACACTTGTTAGTACTTTTATTGTAGCTGCTTAATGAAAACATAATATAAAAAAATGAGTCCAAGGGACTGTCCATAAAGTGCGTCATGCTCCAGAAGGGGTGAGGGAGTTAAAAGAATTGTGACAATTTCTGACATGGTTTTGTGTGTGGGGGGGTAGGTTGAGGGAAAGCTCATATGTGACATCACACATTTTTTTTTATCATGCATATAAAACCTGAAATTTGAAAGTGATGTTTAACTTTCTGTTGTGATGGATATATTCTGACAGAAGATGTCACATTTATAAATTTTAATTAGTTGTTAATTAAGTATTTTTTAAAGTTTGTGGTAGCCTTGATCCAAGGTTTGTGACAGATTGTGACAAGTGATGAGAGAGTAAAAATTATCCATGAATAGCGTGACATACTTATGGATGGCCCCTAAATGAACGTCTTAATGCTTTAAATTGTAGTAGACAACTCACAGCTTTAAATATTGTCGTCCTTCAGCAGTACACAAATGAACTTATTTCTTCATGTCGTTGAACATTATTTTCATTCTTGGCAATATCACATATTTAATATAATTAAATTGTGATGCATTCTGTATTCTAATGTACAAGCCCCTCTTTTGGACTGATTTTGAAAATAAAATAAATTCAAAGTAGTAAACTCAAATCTAAACAACAATTTTAAAATTGTTTAGTAAATGCTAAAATTTAAAGATTTCAATAAAGACATCTAGGTGAGGGGATGCTACAATTTCAGAAGCATCTCTCCTTTTATTTTCCACTTAACTAGAGGATGGTGCAAAAAAAAAAAAAATCAGATATGTACCAAAATGCATCTCTGCATTTTGAATTATCAAAAATTTCTGGAAGAGTGGGGAAAGGGGTCTGAGCTCAGGCTTCAGTGGGATTCCTTGATTTCTGCTCCCTAGATCAAAGTGGCAACGATAGGCACTTTTTTATCTACAATAATGTAATATGTTATATTTCAATTTATGTCTATACAATTTATTTATATGTATGGAAGCACTGGTAGTTGTGTTAATAAAAGTAAATAAAAAATGTTTAAACAATTATTATACATTTTCTTTATTTGGTTTAAATAGTTGACTCACTGTCAGAGTGGCTTGTGAAACCATTTGGATTGGCCACCCCTGCTTTATATCTAATAATTCTGTGAGTTTGCTAAGTTATTTGTCAAACACAATTTAGCACTAAATCTATGTGTGAGCTCTAGTCTGAAAATAATAAAAAATTCTAAAAATTCTTATATTTAAAAAAAAGCTCAACTTTTGCTAATCTAATTCCAATTCAATAGATGAAACTAAACTTTTGATATGCCATTGAAAAAAAAAAGCTTTCAGCACTTTAACATAACTATGTGGCATAAACTGACAGAACTACTAACCGGATGAGAGCATACAAGTCCATCAGGTTATTCTGTATAGGAGTTCCAGTCAGGGCCCACCTGCTTATGCTCCATAACTGGTACACGGATCTTGCTACCAATGTATTATGGTTCTTGATGTTGTGAGCTTCATCTAGCACAATTCTTTCCCAGCCTATTCTCAACAATGTGGGAAGTATTGTGGATTCTGGCTGAAATAAATCATTTTAACAATTTAGTTTTTACACAAGGGACTCAAAAGTCAAATTATCAGGCAGCTTAATTTAGATATGCCAAAAGTTTTATTCCTGGAGCTGACATCTTTTAGATTCACACAGCCATATCCTCACAGTTAGAATTCAACACACAAGCCCAACATTTTAAAGTGTCATGACCACTCACATCAGTTTTATGAACTCCTGCCGTCTGCACCTTCTCTGGATCTGTATCAGGACTGTCAGCACTTTCTTTTTTAATACTCCCTACCTCCTTGCTGATTATATTGTAAGTTGTCAAGACAATATCATTGTCAATGAGCCTATAATGTAGAGAAAATTATTCTAATTAAGGATGAAAAATTTTCAATTTTATGACAAATATAATTGATATATTTTTCTGCAAATCTAAATTTAAGCCAAAAGCAATTTCTTGAGCTTTAAATCTGTATTTTAATAAGTAAATAAGTAACACAATTTACCGGTAGGAAAAAACATGAAAAAAGACAAATATGTTTCTGTTAATAATTTTAGTTATCCATTTTAATTAAAAATTGCATTGCTATTTCCTACTTATCACTATCAAGTAAAAAATAGCCTTCATTTTGCAGATCATTACATTGAATTTATTTAAAATATTTTTTCAATAAAAATCATACTTATGAATATTTTTCTCTCTTTTAGGACCATGATAAACAATAAACTTGAGGAGTCCTGGTTTAACTCGTCTTTCTATTTCTTTGGCCCATTGATGTATTATTGAAGCTGGAACAACAATTAAAGTTGCTCTTGATTTCTCAACAGCCTCCGCCACTGAGATAAGAATGTAACAAATGAAATTTATATCACATAAAAGTAAAATAAAAATAAAACAGTTTTTACTCAATGAAATCAATAAAAATAATTTAAAAACTTGAAAATAAATCACAAAATATTTAAATATCATAATTAGGTGGATTTTTTTTAATATTCAGAAAATACATACTTTTCTCAATTTGAATCTTTCTGCTAAGCCATTCTTCCTTTCCAAGTCTTTCTGCTGCTACTTTCAGTCTCAGGATGTGGGATATCATGGTTAGGGTCTTTCCCAAGCCCATATCATCAGCTGGATTAATCAATCACAAACTCATTTTTTTTTTGTAAGCCAGTTTTATTAATTACTAGCCAATATACCCGGTGTTTGCTCGGGTTAGTATTTTGCACACAAAAAAAATATTTAAAAAAATAAATAATTATAAATAACTTCCTAAGCGTAGGCCTATCAGTGTACATGTAAATGTAGGGCCACGTCAAAAACAATTTGCTAGAGTGCCAGTTAAAACTAAAAATGTTCTCCAATAAAAAGCCAGATTTATAATAACTCTAATAAACACTGAGTTTTAGCTTCATCCAGTTTTGTTAATATTCAAACTGGGCACAGCCAAAATCCACGATTTAAAGTCAAATCTAATATTTAAAAGATATCTTACTGTTTATTTTAAAAAAAAATGGTATTCACCAATGCAAAAGCTATTACTGTCTATCAGTTAAAATAAATTAGAATACCGATTCTAAAAAGGGCTCTAAGATAAGGGCACTATAAAAAAAATTCAATAAATAGTGAATTTTTCAAATTTACCCCATTAAATCCGAAGGAAGTTGCAAAGATGTTGTCAGTTGCCTTAAAAAAAAATCTTCAAAGCTAAAAGAACTTAATCTTTCATATTTAACAGCAGTGATTATTTTAAGTTTGATAACAAACAAACTTTATTTTAAAAATGTTCCCAGTAAAATCGGTTATAAAACACAAAAGCTTTTGCTATGGCTGTTATAAAGGAAAATACATTGCAGAGCCTTCTACACTCATTTGAAAATGTCAAGAATATCTTCAAATCAGCTTTTATAACATTAGAGGTAAATCATAGAGACTTATAAAAATATAAGAAACATAAAAATGACATTTATGTAATCTTCAAAACCCTTTAAAAAATCGAACATTCTAGATTAATGTAGAAACTTTGGTACACTTGTAAAGATATATTCATCGATACTGAAAAAAAAAAAATACCCAGGCAATTATAGAAATATATAATATAAAAAATTATGACAAATTTCCATAAACTTTTGGTTCCTCTGACATTTTCATAATTTTTAAATATATGTGGAACAATATAGAAACTGACGAAAAATTATATATATATATATATATATATATATATATATATATATATATATATATATAAATTCAAACAACTTATAAAAATTTAATCATTAATTTTATTATTATATTATATATATATACATATATATATATATAAATTCAAACAACTTGTAAAAATTTAATCATTAATGTTATTATTATATCAATACTACAACATCTAAAACAAAATGATGTTCTGTAGACGTTTTTTAGAATTAAGTTAAAATTAAGCCCCCCCCCCAACCCCCACCCCGTAGGGACCCGTACTATAATGTGACGTTTTAATTATCACTAACATAGGAAAGCTCAATAATTAATCAGATAAATATCCAAGTTAAAATTTAAAACAATTGTCCCATTAAAATCAGTTGAAAAATGTAAGATAATTTTTTTTTTCTTCAAATAAATGAAATTATTGGTGGTGAATATTATGCTTTTCATAGAGTCCAGCTCTCCAGTATAGACATTCAATGACATGTGTAACATGTTTCGTCTACATCTATTCATTTATTGTAATTTTATTTGTTTAGCTAATAAAAGAGAGGGAAAAAAACATTTTGGCCAATGGCCCAGAATGGGATTTGTTAAAAAAATTCAAGCCTAGTCAGACAAATAATCATCTTTATATAAAAGACACATAAATCAGGAAAATACATATATAAACATTTCATTAAAAAATATTTATTTTTTAATATAAGGTATATAAGTAATAGATATAACTAAAATCACATGATATTTTATATTTTTCTTTGTCAGTGTCTTGCACCACTTTTCAATGGAACACTACTGTGTCATTATCTGATGTCAGTAATCAAATTTAGACAGAAACGTATTGTGTGTGTCATCTAAGTCTAAAAAGCTTTTAATGAAGGTACATCATACACATACTTTGATATAAAAAGGGAAATATGGACTGAAATTGCTCCGAGATATTGCTATATTCATAAATTGATCCCACCATTCAGTGAAGTAGTTTTACTAATTGCTAATTGGGAACTAAATCACAAACTAGCGATTCTCCGTTACCCACACACATTTACTATATAAAGTTGGTGATACATATAAGTAAAAGCACCAACGGGAATGGTACCCCCCCCCCTTTTTCAAGGTACGCCAAAGCAACTTTTAGGCAAGCCACAAATAATTCTAATCTAATAGTAAGCCCCCCCCCCATCCCCCTCCCCCCATTTATACAACGCCATGAAGTTTTTTTCCTTAATACAAAACCGAGCAGAGCTTGCGTAAAACAAAAGCGCACCGAAAACTTCCTGTAATAGATGTTTGAAAGGGCAGCCTACTGAATAAAGGCTTTTTAAAACTCGAACCATAATTTAGAAACATTTCAAACAAAGTCACACTAGGCAGTATGTAGTAGATTTTGGGAAATGTTCTTTTGGAAAAGGTTGTTATAATTTTTTCAACAATAACATTTCATGGATGCATCTAATTGCTACCTTCTACATATGTTTATTTTTCATTATTTATAAATAATATTCCCATAAAAATACCTTGCACTTTTTCAATCAGATATTGCACAGAGGTACTTATTACACTTTTTTGACTGCATGACTTATATCAAATCTTCTGGACTTGTCGCTCTTTATGTTACAGTAGTCTGCATTTAATTTGTCCGTACATTTGAATGATCAAGTGAACATTTTAGTTGATTTATTTTCATAAATAGTTTTATCAAATAATACCTAAAATGCCCACGGGGGGTATCTGCTGTTCACGCCATGCCAACCAGGCAAGTGCATGTCTTTGATGAGGCTTTAGGCTAACTTTTAAGCCCCTTGGGTCTGGGAGCTCTGTGTTTTCCGCAGGACACGTTTCCAGCTGTCTATAATAAAGATATGTCATCAGCTCCAAGATTTATGATGCTCCATAACTATAAAGAATTGGTTATTTCTGCATATGCTTTACAGTTAAAGAACAATTAAAAAACATTCATTTACACGCAAAAAATTATTATAAAAGACTGTAAAATGTTTGGAAGTTCTGAGAGTGGGTCATTTTGTTTAGATAACTCTGCTATTAGTTAAAGAAAAATTTTGAAAGAATTTGGCATGTTTGGGATAGAATATGCATGATTCAGAACAGATTTTTCAAACTGTGTTTTCAAACTCATTTAGTTTCAAATTTAATTTAATTATCCGATGATGTTTGTTAGTTAATCTAAAATAAATTGATAGCTAGTAAATTTAAGTAGAGACCAAGTATCTTTATGTTTTAATTTTTTTGTACAGTTTCAGCTCAGATACAAAATCCAAGTGCTGTAGTGACAAGAATAGGACTCGTCAAATCCAACACCTGTTTTCCCTTATGTCCTCAATGAAATACTCACTTATGTAATCTGTCAATGACTTCTGTTGTTATTGACCCAAATTGTCGCAACATTTCGTCTGTCATTCTTCTATCAAACATTTCATGTGGATTGGCTGTTTTCATTTTTATAAAAAAAAAATGAAAATCATTAGGATTTGAACAGAAATCCTGAAAAGGAAATATCAAGCTACTTCTGCTCACAGGCTCACTGTTCCAGCTTTCAGTGTCAGGATGGGTGATATTGTGTTTAGGTTTTTTTTCCCAAGCCCATGTCGTCATCAGATGGATCAATAGATCACAACACCCAATGTTTTGTAAGCAAGTTTGATACATTATTACGGGAAGTGTCGAATAAAAATCAGGATGTTTTTATTTTGTCAACAATACAATTTCATGGATGTTTATGAAGGCTAACCTATGTCAACAATAACATTTGCTGGTTGTAATATGAATGCTATCCTTTGTCAGTAAAAAAAAATGTCATGGATGCATATGGATGCTATCTTTTGTTAACAATAAAATGTCATGGATGTATATGAATGCTATCCTCTACAATTATACACAACTATCTTTTTCGTTAATACTATTCCCATTAATATGCTATGCATATTTTTTCATAAAATCTTGCATAAAGGCAACATTTTAAACTATCACGACCGCATGACTTGTATCCAGTCATCCTGACGGCCTTTTCTCTATGTTACAGTAATATCTGCATTACATTGTTTCATCAAGTCCTAACATTTTTACGAATGAATGGAAATTAGATCCATTATTTGAAGAAAAAAAGTTATTTCATTAAAAAAGGGAGTTTTTTTTTTAAAATAAAACATTACCTAAGATGACCCGATGGGCGTGTTGTTGTTGTTGTTGCAAGGCCGGCGAGGCAAGTGCCTGACTTTGATGAGGCTTCATGCTGACTTTTAAGAATTTTGGGTCATGACGTTCAGCGCTGTCTGCAGAACAAGTTTCTGGCTGTCTATAATAAACATCAAGATATGGTCTCAGCTCCAAGATTTATAATCCTCCTTATGGCTTATCATTTCTGCATATGCTTTAAAGAACGGCTACGGCATTTGTGAAGGCCTATTTTTAGCCACCACCACTTGTCTCCTCTTTTGTTTTGTTATGATATAACGTGGCCGGATAAACGTACTGAAAGAGAGAGAGAGAGAGAGAGAGAGAGAGAGAGAGAGGGAGGGGGAGGAGAGGGAGAGAGAGAGAGAGTTAACACCTACCAGTAGAGACATTAGACAAATGTTATGAAAAAGATTTATTTTCCGTAGCGAAAGAGTTGGGTATAAATGTAGCTCGTCCTGCTTAAAAAAAAAAGACAGAGATTTAATCACTGTCCACTGAGAGTATGAAGAGCTGTTGTCTGAAGATGTATGAGGATGTTCTGACTTCAGCTGCTGTCTATGTTCTGGCCTCAGCTGTTGTCTGAGGATGTTCTTGCCTCAGCTGTTGTCTGAAGATGTTCTGGCCTCAGCTGTTGTCTGAGGATGTTCTGGCCTCAGCTGTTGTCTGAGGATGTTCTTGCCTCAGCTGTTATCTGAAGATGTTCTGGCCTCAGCTGTTGTCTGAGGATGTTCTGGCCTCAGTAAACGAACAAAATGATCCTAGCGTGGAGCGCCAACTGAAGCTAAAACTAAGGGAGCTAACATGCACAGCTAGAGATAAAGTGGAGAAAGAAAGAGAGTTCAAACAATTGGAGCTAGATGCGTAAAGAGAGAAAGAAGAAACAGATGGAGAGCTCAATGAAATTGAGTTAGAGTTACACATAAATTTAAAAGAAATCGAAATTATGCGTGCTATGGCAAATAGACCTACAGGTACAATCAGTCAGGGTTATGGTGCAATTAAATGTTCAAAGTTCATCCCCAAATTTGCAGATCAAGATTTTGACCAGCCTTTTGTTCTGTTCGAAATAACTGCGCACAATTTTAAAATACCGGAAAATATTTGATCTACCTTACTGCAGCTCTGACTGGTCGGGCAGCCGAAGTTTTTGTGTCCCTGAATGCTGAACAGGGTGGGGACTATATGCTTTTAAAGTCGTTAATACTTAAGCCTTTTGAATGTGTCCCCGTGGCATACCGTACAAAGTTTAGGGGGGGGGGGCTGTTGAAACGAGGTGACCAAATTCAATTCGAGTTTCTACAAGAAAAGGAACGACTCCTGGAAAAGTGGCTTCACGTAAAGAACATCAATAGAGACTTCAATAAATTCAAGAATCTCGCACTGATGGAGGCGTTCAAGAATTATGTCCGTGTGTACGTATGGATGCATATTGCAGACCGTGGCGAAGATTTTGTGCATAAGGCAGCAGTGTTGGATGACGACTTCACCATCTATCATAAATTATCCAAGAACGAGTTTAACACAAACTTAAGACAGGCACTTTAGAGCAACACTATCAACTTCCAGACCACCACACAAAAAAAGATCACACAAGTCTGCCACAAAAGAATCAAATCCAAGCGACATCTGTATCTATTGTAAAAAAAGTAAGGTCATAAGGGGGATGATTGTTGGAAACTCATGAAGAAAAATGAGAAGACGAAGCATCCTGGTCAACCACACAGTGTCTCTGTTTGCACGTCTCGTCATACATCTGGAAACATATTATCAAAATCCATAAGTTTGTGATCATATTCAGATGATGTTCATACAAGAATCCCAGAGCTTTGTCAAGAGTTTTATTCTGCAGTACAAGGCTAGTTTTCCCGAATCCAGCCAGTTCCTGCTTCGACTGTGAGTTTTATGAGATTGTCAGAAATATCTTATTTCTCCAAAAAGTGGTCTACCTCAAGATCCAAACTTCTACAACAGAAAATACCGATTTTCATCAATATTTATGCCGTTCATATCGCAAGGATTTGTGTCACTGCCTGGTGGTTCTTCCAGTCTACGACCTATCAAGATTTTGCGAGACACATGTGCTTCACAGTCCTTACTACTTAAGGGTTTACTTTAAAAGAACAGAACAAAATATTTATTTATTTACAAAGGCTTGATTCTAAAAGACTGTATGTTTGGGAACTCTGATGGTAGTTGTTACTTGATTACAGATAAATCTGTTACTATTTAAAGTAAGTTTAAAAAAAAATATATCTAAAATATATTCAGATAGAAAATGCATTATTCAGAACAGGGTTTTATGAAAATGAGAAGATAACTCTTTAAAACAAAACACTCAGACCCGGACCCGTCGGGTATTGTATCAAAATACCCGGAACCGGACCGGGTGTCAAAATAACTGCACCCGGCTAAACCCTAGTTTTCCTCTCATTAGATCTCCCTTTTATATCTCCGATTAATGGCCATTATTTAATCCTACATAAAACGATAGTAAATAATTTTCAGTAAATAACAAATATCTCAGAAATTTTGATTACACTTTCAGCTCAAACCACAAAATCCAAGCAATTATGAGACGGAGAATGGGACTGGCGACTTCCAGCATGTGTTTCATATCTCAAAAACGAAATACTCACTTATGTAATTTGTGAATGGGTTCTCTTGTTATTGACCTCCCGTCTCTCCTACTCTGCCCTGGTCTACTCTGCCCTGGTCTACTCTGCTCTGGTCTACTCTGCTCTGGTCTACTCTGCTCTGGTGTACTCCCACCATAAAAAGGCATAACTTGCGGGATTGCTGCTTTCATTGTTTACAAAAAAAGATGAAAAACATAAACATTTGAAAAGAATTACTGAAAGGAAAAAAAAAACAGAAGCTAAGAATTAAAAAGGGATTTTTTAAAAGAAACGTACAGGAAAAAAGTTGCATGAGGTACTGTGGCAGACGTGCAAACAGAGATGTGCCAGGTTGCTCTTCGGGCGCCTGCGTTGGTTGTCTATTGGATGAACCTGGGTTCTGAGGGAGTAAAATTAAGAAATATTCCACACCAAGCAATATTCAAATACCATCCAACTTTAGATCACTCTATGACAGTGTTTCCCAACCTTTTCTATGCCCAGCACCCTCAGCGAATTATTGAACTAGTCCCCACTTCCTACGATTTTTTTGATGCTAAGTCTCGAACCCTTTCTAAAGAAAAAAAAAACATTTTAAAATGTTAAAATAACTGACTTTTAATTTATTTATTGAAGTGCTAAGAGAACCGATTAAGATAGGAAATAAACTTGTGACTTATCACATAAAGGAAATGTTAATGAAGAAACGTTTACAAATGTATGATAAACATAGTTTTATAGTAATTTAAAAACGAATATTCTCCTCCGTTACAATCCCCTTTTCTCCCAAACCTGAAATAGCACCTCGTACCCCTGGTTGGGAAACCCTGCTACCACTTAAGTCTTAAGCTAAATGGTCAAAGCGATACTTAAATTGCTTACAATTGCAGTACTCTTTTCGTTTACCAATGAAATAGTATTACTTATCTAACCAGGGTCAAACTATGTAAAAGGATTTTTTAAAGCAAGACATGTTGCCAATAATTTAGGAATTCTCATGATCAGTGGATTGTGCTCATCTGATCTTATTCTAAATAAAAAAATGTGTGAACTTGAAAAAACACACATGTATTTGCCAGCGTATGGGACGCTGTGGCTTATCAGACGCTCCTAGATTTTTATACACATACAAATTTCAACTTATGATTTAAGGCGCATCGGATATGTGAGGTGCATATGTCTGGAAAAAATGATAATTATCATGCCAGCTAGCGGAATTATAAACCATCTGTATAAGACAGGCCTTCGTTACCAAATGATGGTAGCAGAAGATGAAGATGTGGAGATTTTCCAAAACACAAATCTTATGAGTTATCTTGGCTTGGCAGGTGGATAATGGCTTACCCAACTTGTTAGTACAGGAGAACAAGACACCCATGACTGAAATCTTAACACATTGAGGGAAAGTCAAAACTGATCTGTTTTTTAAAACTATAGGTCCAAGCGTTAAAAGATGAGACAGAAATCAGTCTACCTGTACTACAAGTGGTGTGCCACTGGCACCGGGGTAGACTTTAACCACTCGAGGACCGAAATTGTTGGAGTTATTTCCAATGGGATTAATTGCACTGCCATCGCTTTCTGAAATAAGGACTT